CAGACTCTTGCATGGAGAGCGGTTCAAATCAATCACCATCAGATGCTGCCTAAGTAGTAGGGATGGACGATTTGGCTAAAATCAAGATGCCAAATAATGCAATTCAGACTGCAATGTTATAATAATAGGCTAACTGAACATCTGAAAGGCTAAAATCACAAAGTCATAAATCACATTTAAATATAACTACCAACTTGCAATGAAACGAGAAGCAGCGCACAGCTGACAAGCACGAATCACACATATCATGATCACGATTGCACAGGCAAACAGAAGTCAACAGGGAAGAACACGAAGGTTTGCAACAGAACTAAAGTATTCAGATTTGACCATAAAGCCCTTCATTTTGCAGCCCAGACCAGTAAATAAAAGCTAAATGACGAAGCAACAGGCCATATTTTCAACACAGCACAGAACAGATATTTAGCTAAAATACATAAGAATCCTAAAATCAATGAAGCATGCAAAAACAAGTGGAGAAATGAATTTCAACAAAGCACATGACAGATATGACGCTTAATCTACAACTATCATGTATTACAGTACACAGAGATCAAATGATCAAAACTGATTTATATGTTAGTCACCTCAGAAACTCCCTCCAGATTTAACGGAGTTCCTTTTATCAAGCAGGTTTGAAATCGGCACGCTTTGAGCACCAGGAGAGCGACAGACGACGAGTAAACGACAGCGATCGCATGAGATCTGACTTCATTTCCACACGATTACCGTCTGTCTGTGTCACTGCAAACAGACTCACAAAATCTATCATCTCCAAATACTCAGCCTGGAGCAAATCTCAACTGCTTGATTGTTTATATCACTGCAAAATGCAACTATATTATCACACAGCTCCATATATCAAGTTGGATATTTAAGTATATACATCTGTACCTGTCTAAATAAAGCTACGTATACCATATAGCAAATCTCAACTGCTTGATTGCTCATATCATAACAATGTAACTATATTATGTTTCAGCTCTAATCTGCTAAATGCAACTATAAGGTATGAAGATACAGATATTATAAACATGAACACTGTGAGATTCTGTAAAGCTGCTTGTCAAATACAATTGACTTGGCTTGACTCCTCTGTAGTTCCTGTAAAGTGATATTCAATCCTTGCGCTCACCTGGAAAACACCAGACGCTCAGACTTTTGGCCAGGTTTAGGTGCGAAACCTTCAAATGTCTGGATGAAGGACACAGAAGCTCCTCCCAGGACAAATACCACAGCGAGACCACAATCAAACCAAGCTTCTAGCATGAAGTCAATGTTCTGTCCTCACTGACAGCGATAAGTCATGTGAAGCGGTAAAATTCACATTCAATCAGACTCTATTTGATGCTTAATATTCAGCTTTTTTTTAACAGTGGGTGGAATCACGATTCAACAAAATCAGCCGGATGAGCTGAGTGAGAGTCAGAATGACTAAATCCAGCATCTGTACAGAATCCCGGCTTTTGGATACATTATTTAAAAGAAAACTCTTTCTAGAACATACCATGAACATATTTAGAGTGTATATTACAACAACTACCTAATTCATTCATATCTGAACCAGAATACACGCTTCACTGAACTATAACGTCCCATCTGACTAATTAAACTACTGATGAAAGAATGAAACTCTTCACACTGAACTACTGATCCAACACAGAAGAAACTCTTCACTGTAAACATTCATTGCAGACGTTTCACACTAAACTACAGATTACAGAAGAAACTGTTCATTAAACTACTGAATAAAGAAACTCCTCAAATTAAACTACTGATTAAAGAAGAAACTTCATTAAACTTCTTATTAAAGAAACTATTCACACTAAACTAACATTTAAAGAAACTGCACATCAAACTACTGAATAAAGAAACTCTTCATATAAAACTACTTAAAAAGCTCTTCACACTAAAATACTGAGTAAAGAAGAAACTCTTCATGCTAAACTACCAATTAAACTTTTCACATTAAACTGCTAAAGAAACTCTTCACACTAAACTACCGAATAAAGATTCTTAACATTTCACTACTGATTAAAGAAACTCATTAAACTACTGATTGAACTCTTCACACTAATCTATACATTTATGGCAAAACTCTTCATGCCAAACTACTGATTAAAGAAACTCTTCACACTAAACTACTGAATAAAGAAAAAAATAGTAACATTTCACTACCGATTAAAGAAACTCAAACTACTGATTAAAGAAACTCTTCACACTAAACTACCGAATAAAGAAACTCAGACTACTGATTAAAGAAAATCTTCACACTGAACTACTGAATAAAGAAAAAAATTTTAACATTTCACTACTGATTAAAGAAACTCAAACTACTGATTAAAGAAACTCTTCACACTAAACTACTGAATAAAGAAACTCAAACTACTGATTAAAGAAAATATTCACACTAACCTACTGAATAAAGAAACTCAGACTACTGATTAAAGAAACTCTTCACACTAAACTACGGAATAAAGAAACTCAGACTACTAATTAAAGAAACACTTCACACTAAACTACCGATTAAAGAAACTCAAACTACTGATTAAAGAAACTCTTCACACTAAACTACTGAATAAAGAAACTCAAACTACTGATTAAAGAAACTCTTCACACTAAACTACCGATTAAAGAAACTCAGACTGCTGATTAAAGAAACTCTTCACACTAAACTACTGATTAAAGAAACTCAAACTACTGATTAAAGATTCTTAACATTTCACTACTGATTAAATGTTAAGAATCTTTAATCAGTAGTTTGATTAAAGATTCCTAACATTTCACTACTGATTAAAGAAACTCAAACTACTGATTAAAGAAACTCTTCACACTAAACTACTGATTAAAGAAACTCATTAAACTACTGATTGAAGAAACTCTTCACATTATACTGGTGGTGAAATAATGAGAAGTGAAGAAACTCTTTACATGAAAGCACTGCTGAAATAAGCAAACTCTTCACGCTGAACTACTGATCGAACGCATGGCAGAGACCTGAACGCCGGCCCATAATCCTCTGCAATCAAGCTCAGCGCAGGAACAGAGGGAGGCTGTCTTTAGAAAATGAGTAGGAAGCGAAAAATTGAGTTAGGTTGGGGGTGTGGGGGTGGAAACAGACGAAACAAGAAAGAAAAACACAGGATGCTGCGATCTGGAACGACAGAGCTCGAGAGACAAGTAAGGGCAGGTCTGGCACAAAGAGTTTGGAAAGAATTAAAAAACAACAGGCAGAGAGAGAGAGAGATAAGATCGCAGCTACAGCCAGTGGATTGTGCTGCTTTGGTTGCAGTGTGTTGCGAGCCGGCTTTAAAAAGTTTGTTTTACGCAACTGAGGTGGTTTCCAGCCAGCCGGACGCGCTCTCTCCTGACTCGAGAGGGAAGTGAAGGATCATGGGATATACGTGGGTGGACAATAACCAAACAGACACTGGGTAAAGGTGTAAGAGAGTGGGAAAAAAGAGAAAAACTGAGGAAGGAAGACTACATATACTCGCTTTTGAAAAGCACTGGGTGTCTCCATTTACTTAGTTCTTATGAGATAAATATTTATAGTTCTGACTCTATATTCTGATTGGATGAGCTGTGATCAAAGTCTCCGCGAATGCTGAAAAATAAACACCTGTTATGCATGTTCTAATTTAATTTCTATTAATAAAAAGTGTATAATTAGGAGATGTGATAAACTGAAGTGCCATCTAACATCTAAACTGATCATCCTGATCAGCAGAGCAGTTAAGTTGAAGAATAATGCATTTACTTTGGTCTGAATAAAATCAGAGCTGTGCATTTTTACAGTATGCAAGTATCTGTCGGTGCACGAGAAATCAACATGGTACGATATAATGAGCAATATAAACACAAAGTCCAGCTCAGTACTACATGTCTGCGTCCTAATATGATCTTTGACCCGTGTGTGGTCTTCTTATCGAGTTTCACAACTTGGCAAAGTGTGTGCGTGTGTGTCACTTGATATCCAGGCCAACAACATTCCCTTCACAACTGTGTGATACATGCCATGGGAATATCCTCTTCCCCCAAAACAGGCGACTCTCTCAGAGTCCTGGAGCTCAACCAAATAACCCCAAAAAATACTATATAGGCCCAGGCAGAATGTTAAAAAGGATATTGCTGGTATTCTGCGGAATGGATTTAAGTAGAACTAAATTTACTACAATGGAAGCACAATCGAGCTAGACACAATAACAAAGCAAACGCACATGCGACAGGTAGAGGATGTAGAACTCTGTAAATGAAGGGCGTTACGTTTCTGTGGAAACCTGCAGAGCTTTTCCCTGAGTTCTGCGGGCGAGATTCCATGTGGGCCTGATAATAATCCCAAACCAAAACACAACACCACCAGCAGCTGAATGAACCCCAGAATGGACCATACTGGATGAGATGGACTCTAACAGAATGGCTTAATAAAGGAAACTTGAGCATTCCTGTAGGTCAACGAGGTGGTTACGGGTTCGATTCCCAGGGAATGCATGAACTGATCAAACGTGTAGATTGAATGCAATGCAAGTTGTTTTGAAAAAAAGCATCTGCCAAATGCATTCATGTAAATATATAAAAGAAATGTATCCTCTATGGTCTAAATTAGCCAGGTTACATTTTGTGGCACTCAAAAAATTAGTATGGCAATAGAAATGCCAAGGTCATGGGTTTGATTCCCAGTGAATGCATGAACTGGCTAAATGTGTAGATGAAGGTTGCTTTGGAAAAAAAAAAGTGTCTGCATCAATGTAAATATAAAAGAAATGGATCCTATATGGTCATTCGCTGCTCTAAACATTTGTGGCACTCAAAAAGCAGAGTTTGGCAATAGAAACTCCAAGGCTGTGGGTTCGATTCCCAGTGAATGCATGAACTGATCAAACGTATCGCTTGAATTCAGCTTAAGTAGCTTTTGCATGAATGTAAATGTCTGCTGGAAATTGAGCAGTCATGAAAGGCAAACACATCAGCATGTCTAGAATATAAGGACGTGGACTCACTGTTGTTGGACTTGAGGTCTCGGTGGATGACGGGGACGATGGCCTCGTTGTGCAGGTACTGCATCCCGCGGGCGATCTGCACTGCCCAGTTGACCAGAACATGCGGCGGGATCCGTCGTCCGGCCAGAGCGCGGCTCAGCGGGCCGCCCGAAGCGTACTCCATGATCAGGCACAGGTTGGGCTCCTGCAGGCAAACGCCTATGAGCGCGATGATGTTGGGGTGCTTGAGCATGGCGAAGAGCCTGGCTTCATTCTGGACGTTCTGGGCCGTGACGCTGATGTCCTCGTCTGGGTCCTGACGGGCCGCTTTCACCGCCACCAACTCGCCCTTCCAGGTTCCTCGGTAGACCTTCCCAAACCCGCCCACCCCGATGACCTCCTCCAGACTCAGCTCGTTGAAGTCCACCATCTCCGGCTCCAACTCGCTCGGTCCCAAACCGGAGCCCTGCAGCTCACCGTCTCCGCTGGGGTTGAAGGAGACGTAGTTGGAGGGGAAGATTCCCACCTTGTTGTTGACCTTTCCCGCCCACCAACCTTCGTCTCCAGATATCTCAGAATCCAGAGACAGGACCTCCACCAGGTCCCCTTTACGCAGCGTGAGTTCATCCTTCCCCGAGGCCTCGTAGTCAAACAAAGCGGTCCAAACCGGGTTGGTGAAGTTTCCCTTCTGAGTCTGATCCAGGCTCTTCCAGGTGGACAGCGGGCCGCGCGAGAATATGTTCTTCAGCGGCTCCATGGAGTTTACAAGGCACTTGAATTGAAATCAGATGAAGTGTGTTGTTGAAGTTCAGGTGGGTACGTCACGACCCCTCTCGCCCCCAGATCTCTGTAAGTCCGGATCATCGGTGGACGTGTCTCCATCAGACATCAATACCCATGTAGACGCGAATGGAGTAAACGGACGCTCCAAGGTCCCAATCGGTGACGGATGGTCACTTGAAGAGCGTTTCTTCCAGCATACTCCGAAAACACCACTTACAAAGGTCATATAAGTTCAAAGAGACGAAAGCATGACTTAGCAAGATCTCAAAGTCTTTCTAAAACGCCCAAGCGCCTGGTGAAAGAGGAGACGCATCAGCCCAGGAGAGTTGAAGTCTCTGTTCAGCGCTCCATTGAGACGTCAGTATTTTTAGCCGCTGCTTTCGCTGTGGTTTTGGCCGAGCAGGAAGCGCTCAGAAGAATAATAGCAGGAAAAGCCAATTCAAGTTGCGGCCAAACGCGCAGAAACGCGCTCAGAAACGCTCTCTCACGCTCGCCTGGATCGCATCGTCAGGTTTCCCCGTCCAGACCGACCATCGCGGGTCTTCTTTCAGCGGTTTCTGAAGTTCTGCTCAGATTCTGGAACTTCTTTCTCGGCGTCTGTGGCAGGAAGAGGCGCTCAGCTGATCGCGTCTCGCTGGTTTAATGGCGTCGCGTCCTTTCTGCCGCTGCGCGTCGATCGTCTTCATTCGCTCGGCTCAGAAACGCTCCCGAAGGCGGTGTGTTGAGCCCGTTTACCGTGAACTCTCTCCGTCTGTCCGGTAGAGGGTGGGACAGGAAAACAATCAGATGACTGTCGACTCTCCTCCTCCCTCTCCTGGCCGCTGCGGAGTGTGTGTGTGTGAGAGAGAGAGAGAGAGAGAGAGGGTGTGTGTGTGTGTGTGTGTCTGTGTGTGTGTGAGTGAGTGAGTGTGTGTGTGTGA